GACCATACTTCACCACACTGGTCAGTGCGGTTTGATGAGGTGGGGGGGGGGGGGGAGAGGAGCAAGACCGGTTCAGATATCACGAATGTTAGCCGTGGTCGGGAATTGAACTCAGCTCACCATGTTCATAGCAGTTCACTAATCACTGCGCCACCACTCAGTTTAGCTGAAAGATAAACAAACGATTTAAAATTTCCTGTCTTCTAAGCTTCTGTCCATTTGGTCCTGGGTGGTATCCAATACCTAGGTGTCCTTTAGCAGTGTAGGGGTGGTGATTCCGTGCCCCGACGTGTAATCACGGTCACATTACACCTTCAACGACCTCCTAAGATACGGAACCCACAAATAACGATATTCAGCAAATGAGTTTTCCATTCAGAGAGCCATTCCTCTGGTAGCGACCGCACCTATCATTTGCGCATTCTGCAAAAGCTGAGTGGCACAGTTAAATAAGCGGGGTGGCGCTCGGGTTAATCCCTGCATTAAGGGTCGCCACTTAAAACATACCACCTTCTCTGTCACATGCTTTCTAGCAATCCTCGTGGAGTGCCAATGATGTCCACGGAATGAAAGCAAGCAGCTGTGTCAGACAGAGGCATCACGGAGAGGCCACTTGGGGTGTGTAGGGCAATGCGTGCGTGTGGAGCAGTGTGCATACAGGGCAGTGTATGTGTGCAGGGCAGTGCGTGTGTGCAGGGCAGTGCGTGTGTGCAGGGCAGTGCGTGTGTGCAGGGCAGTGCGTGTGTGCAGGGCAGTGCGTGTGTGCAGGGCAGTGCGTGCATGTGTGCAGGGCAGTGCGTGCGTGTGGAGCAGTGTGCATGCAGGGCAGTGCGTGTGTGCAGGGCAGTGTGTGTGTGTAGGGCAGTGCGTGCATAAGTGCAGGGCAGTGCGTACATATGTGCAGGGCAGTATGCGTGTGTCCAGGCATGAGACTCTCCCCGTGCCCCAGCCCTTTCGCGCCTCCCTTCACAGAGCAGGGCATTGTGGGTGTCAAAATCTCTGGCTAATTCTGGGCAGCCACGGCTACATCCGCGCGTTGAACCACTTCCAAGGTCAATCGTGAAACATTTGATTTTCGGGACAAACTCTGATGCATTTGGTAGACCCAATTTTTCGTGAAATTATGGTTTTAAGTACATTGTAATTACCTATAATTAACTCGAAATAGTTCTAAATGAATGTTGAATTTCCACACACTCACGTTACCTCGCCCTGGCCCACACATTCATTTATCAAGTGCACGTTAATTAAGGCCACATGCCGCGATGTCCAATTGGTGACGGTGAACCGCGTGAAAATAAATCGCAACCCAAAGCAATTTAGAATCGTTGATGTTTTTATTTCGCATTAAAGACGCAGCTCCTGTCAATGGTATTTACACTCAATTGAAAAATGACGTTCATTATCGCGTAGCATTGGCTTCCATCACGAACGCGTTTCGCATCGCCTCGTTGCTGTGAGGCCGGCTGCCCCGGCAGCTCTCAACTCTTCCCTCCCTGGATGCGGCGGCCTCGACTCGTTGCCTGCACAATCCAGGAATGTCTCGCTCAGTCGGCAGACTCTCTGCCTGGAGGATCCTGCACCGGGATGTTTGGCCCAACGCCGCTGACGTTGCTCGTGTTTAGCAAGCGGACGAACCCGGAGAGCGCAGAGGAACCCCAGGCAGGAAGGGGTGAGAACATACAAACTCCAAGACACATACACACACACACGTTACCATACTCCTCGTCAGCAAAACGTCAATAATAATTATCAGTGAAGGCTCCCGTGTCACCGCGCAAAGCGTGGGTGGCACCGCGGTGTTTTCCTTGATCCTGAGATCTCCTTCCTCCCCCACGCCTCTCTCCACCCGCAGGACTTCACCCCCCTCTCCGTCTGCGTCACATCTCCTGCATCCACCGTTCCGTAGCCCCAGCTACTGCCGAGACCCTCGTCCACGCTTTCTTCGTATCGTGCCTTGGCCACTGCAACCGTCTCCTCAGTGGCCTCCCCACATTCCTCACCTCCAGACTCCAGCTGATCCCAGATGCCACCGCAAGGCTCCTCGTCTGTACCCGACAAATGAGACCACGTCACGACCAATACTCCAGCCCCTGCATTGGTTCCCAATGCACTCCCAGATCAACTTAGAAATGTCACTCACCGTCTTCAAGATCCCCCATGGCCTTGCCCCTGCCTACCTCTCCCCTCTCATCTCACTCGGCTGTCCGCTCCATCAACCACGGCTTTCTCTGTAAAGCCGTGGTTGATGTCAACCTCAACTCAGTGGGAGGTCGCTCTTTCTCCACTGCCGCAAGTACGTGTGGTAAATCCAGACTCGAAGCCTCTTTTTATGTGTTAACCATTTACAATTCGTCGCGCTGTCCGTAGCTGTAGGCGCCAATAACTCGCGCCCGTTCTGGAGGCGCCTGGCGAGACCGTGGACTTCACAGCGGGCTGGTCCCGTGACGTGCACTCGCCTGGATCCACCTGAAGCGGGCACTCGCCTAGAGCCACCTGGAGCCGACACTCGCCTGGAGCCACCCCGAGCCGGCACTCGCCTGGAGCCACCTAGAGCCGGCACTCGCCTGGAGCCACCTCGAGCGGGCACTCGCCTGGAGCCACCTGGAGCCGGCACTCGCCTGGAGCCACCTCGAGCGGGCACTCGCCTGGAGCCACCTGGAGCCGGCACTCGCCTGGAGCCACCCCGAGCCGGCACTCGCCTGGAGGCACCTCGAGCCGACACTCGCCTGGAGCCACCTGGAGCGGGCACTCGCCTGGAGCCACCCCGAGCCGGCACTCGCCTGGAGCCACCTCGAGCCGACACTCGCCTGGCTGCGGGAGCACTCAGGGCGGGCGGCCCGGCTGGGCTGCTCCGCGCCCTACAGGCGCTGCTCACGGACACCTCGAGGTGGGCCCTGCGTGGCGTTAAGAGCAGCACGCTTGGCTACGTACGGTGCGAAAGAAGTTCAACGCACGTTGCTTACAAGAGCAGCAGGGGAGGGAGTGAGCACATGGGGAGGGCTGATAGAGGCGGCAGATACAAATGAATGATACCACGAGTGAAAAGGGAAGAGATGGAATTCTCAAGAGATGGTGATATGGGCCAGAATAAAGAGTCTGCTGATAAAAAAAGAAGACAGTCTATTATTATTATTATTAAACGATGGTCGTTTCTTATCAGTGTTGGCATCCGTTAAGAGGGAGAAAATAAATATACGGCGACAACCGTGCCGACGAAGTACAAGAGGACAATAAAGATAACGATCCCAACAACTGGCACGTCCTGAAAGTAAAATATTGCGGTGTTTATCGGCTCAGGTGGTGGACATAAAACAAAAACGAGTAAAGAGAGCCGGAAAGAGCGAGGAAGATGGAAAAACATAGATTAGTGATGGACATCATCACTACAACAATGAATAATGCTCGTACATCGGTTGAGTAAATATCCCAACAAATCATTGGTGGGGGATGTGGGGCCGGGGACAAGGAGAGCGCGCGAAGAGTGAACAACGGGGCCGGGGTGCGATGTTGGGCAGAGTCCGAGGCCCTGCGTCGGTCCCCCGGGCCCCTTGAGGGGTGGAGAGGGAGGGCGAGGGAGCTGAGCAGCAGGCGGCAGCAGCAGCAGGCGGCAGGATGGCAAAAGTGGAGCGGTGCCAAAGACTGCAGCCACCCGACGGGAATTCCACCGCACTTCATTAAGTGCGGCGAAACTCGATCGCTTAATTTCCCGGACGTGATCTACCGCCAGGGCGCCGTGCGCGCTGTGCTCGCCTGCCGCTGCGTGCCATTGTGTCGCCCTCAGGAGCAGCACAATGGGCGCTCTGAAAGGCGATCTTATTAGCGGCTGTAAACCCGTCAGCTCGACAGACGGGTACAAACATAAAACCACCACCAGCACCACCAGCACCACCGGGACACGCTTTATTGGCGAGACCATTGATAAGGCGAACTTTACAAACCCCATTATGCTTCTGCAGTGTCTCTAGCAGACAGTGGCTGTGAAGCTATCTCTTTTTTTCCCCCAAGACGGGTTTTGTCCGTGGGCAGTTAAAGTGAGACGACCCAGTGTCAGCTGCCCCTGGAGGGCAGCTGCCAGAGCGGCTGGGAGACGTCACTTGGCCGCGTCCGCGAGTATCTCGCCCGGCGGAGGGAGCAGCTCGCACCAGCTACACACGGGGAGGTCACTGCCGCCGAGTGCAACATCATATCTGGGGCTCGCCTTACCTGCGAATTGACACAATAATTATAATCATCGTCGTAATTATAAATTATTTCATTATTACAAAGCCAATGTTGTTTCTCAGCGGTATGGCACTGGCATTGGGCTAAGTTATTTTCGCAATATACGCCACCAGGATACAACCAGAATGCTGGCCACACGCGTACAGTGCATGGATTCCGAGGTGGCCCGTTCGATCTCCTGGCGTGGGGCACTTGAAACAATGAACAGGTTTCTTAAATCCTTCCAGCCTCTCCTGCACCCCGCAGTATGAATGGATGCAGCAGTCATCGATTGGGAGGTCTTGTGTGGTGGGGTCAAATGAGGGTAGCCCCGACCTCTTTAAAGACGTCTCGTCAGTCTGGAAAAGTAGGCCACGAAATACCTTCTAGAGGGGCTCTCGAGAGAGAGAAAGCCCCTCTAGTGGAGGCAGCTCCACCAGCAGTGGCTTGACCGAGCAATTGCAGCGCTGCGCCTTTTCCCTTTATAATGCACAGAGTACACGCGCCACTACAGCAGACATCACGCGTGGAACGACGCTGGTAGCCACGGTGGCGAGATGTTAACTACCTCGCCTGGTATGCAGGAGGTCGTGGATCGATCCCAACCGTAAAGCCTGCTGCTGTATATTTGGAGTTTGCGTGTCTCTCTCTCCCCTTGGTCGTGTGAATTCTTCTCCGGGTCCTCCGTTTTTTTTCCCAACACATTTCCAAACATTCGTTTAGAGCATTTGGCTGCTGCAAATGTCCACGTGATAAGCCACTTCGTTGAGCTATCATTTGTGGCCAGGTCGCTTCTGAAAAAGAGCTACATTGCTAAGTGGGCCTTACCCGGTTAAATAAAAAAAATGTTTAAGAATAGTTGTAGCTGCTACGACTGATACCGACTCCAAAGCTCACTGTGCATGCGGCTAATGCCCCAGTCTGGATCCGCGGTAGCTCAGCCTTACTAATTAATTTCCTTACTAATTAATTTCCTTACGCATTCATTTCCTGCCAAGCACAAAGCCTCCGAGGCAATCGCCCCTTTCCGCCCCCGATGTAAGCTGCTCGAAGGCACAGTGCTGATAGTTTTCAACACGTTTCCTCGTAGACTTCCCTGCCGATGGCACTGCTTTCCCACCGTAAATCGCCACGGAGCACGCTTCTACAATGGCGTTGCGTGTGGCTATTCTAGGAATGTTGTAACTGAGGTAGCTGGGTGGTTTAGTGGGCCATTGCAACGTCCACAAAATAGTAGTGAGGTGCCCCATTGTTTCTAAGTCTTATAAATGCACGCCCGGCATGCCTGACCGACACCTCAGCATGGATTCATCGAGGCACATTACGCTGGTGACAAAGCACTCACAACACGACGTGACATACCGCAGAGACACGCTAACGTGTGCTGTTCACTGGCAGCAGGAGGCCACGGCTCCCATCGTGCCTTACATGCGTGTCACGTGACCACCACACTGCACGTACAATGCTCTCGGCCTTGTCCAGACCACAAACTCCAAAGAGCTGAATGCGTGGCCCGTAATCGTTGCATTGACCATTAAACTCAAGAGAGTTGAATACGTGGCCGTCTTGTCACATACTGCGCAATGCGCCTGTAGCGCAACTGCTCCTTTGCTGGTGAGCGTGGAGTCGGCAGTGAGATTGCCACAGCCACGATAGTTGCGTCATCTGCAGTGGTGAGAACGCTCGACTGTTACATCCTCATTAGCAAGGGTGAGCCATTGTGTGCCAATGTTTTACTCCTTTCAAATAAAGCGTAAAGACAAAGTCTAATCGCTTTCTCGCTCAATCGAGCACAGTGCCGTGTTTTTCTTTTGTTCCAGCTCTGAGCCAGTGGTGGCAATTCCACATTGCTATGGCTGGGGTGAGATAATCTATGGGACGATCACTGTTTGCTTGCTACAAAGTGGTTCTTATTTTCCGAACTCCAAAGTGGGATGTAAAGGACTGCGTGGACTGCCGACCAGAATTATGACTCGCGACCGTCCATGTGTGACGCGTGCACTCGACCAGTGCACCACCAGCCAGGTGAGGCACCCAGCGAACACAGAGCCAGCTAAGCACCAGAAGACCTCAATGGGCTTTCACCAGTCAAAATAAATGAACTGTGTCAACACGAATCACTCATTCAGTAATTTATTACCGTTTCGTGCCTGCCGGCGAGGATTGGGCAAAACCGTGCCCACTTTTCACCCAGGACAACTGGTTAGCACAGACTAAGTGTTACTCACCGGACATTACAAATGGCAATCATATATTTAAGAATCACAATTAAGAGACAAACAACATACAGTATATACTATTAAAAATAAGAAATCTTAACGAAACACAAAACCTTCAAATCTCATTCAACATACAGTATATACTATTAAAAATAAGAAATTTAAACTAAACACAAAACCTTCGAATCTCATTCATGCCCAGCCAGGCGATTTAAAACTCCGTGAGCACCAAGGGAACATCGCAGTCGCTCAAGCGGCCCTTTTACCCCAAAACGTCTCACGCGTGACATCTACCCACGAGCATCACGCACGGAGAACCCGCCCCGGCTCCATCTGATTGTATTGGATTTCTCCATGGCCATACCAAATAGCCATCAACGCTCAGAGTAACTGGATAGCCTGGAGGGCAATGCTGTCAAGTTAGGTTGATCCTGAGTGCACAAAGGTCACTTGCAGTGCGACAGGTCCAGCGCGTGTTCACCGCACGCCTTGTACACGAGAAGATGCTCGCCCGCTCCGAGCCGCTTGGTGCACGCGGGCACCGGCCTCGGGGAATTCCGCCCTCCCTTGGCACTTGCACCTCATTAATTACTGCAAGCGCGCTGCTCTCGAGAGCTCCCGGTGGGGGGTACAGCCCACCCCCCGTAGCCTCCGCCTCCTCTTCCCACACATCTGGGCTTTGTCAATGCGTGACAGCCTCCCGCTGAGGATGGCCGCTGTCTCCCAGTGTCCTGCCACGGAGAGACTCCTTCATTAGCCGCGTCACGGCGAGGCGACCCGCGCGCTTAATAACAGCACGGACGCGCACGCCTGCAACCTGCAGGCTGCCCTTGTTGGTGTGCCCTTTCATTAGCGGAGTCATTGCAGCATGGGAGCTCATTGTCGAGTTAATGATTGCGAAGAAACTAAGGGGGGGGGGGAGAAGACGTAGACGCGTTAATGTTTTGGGGGGTACACGGCAGCTGAGCACGTGCTTGTGACCCCGAACCAGAGACCCTCCGACCCAGGCTAGCCCGATGCTCGTCTGCTTAGCTGCGGTTGTGAATTGTTGACCCCCTCGCCTGGTACGCAGGAGGTCGTGAGTTCGATCCCGATCCTGACGCCTGCATGTTTGTAGTTTGCATGTCTCTCTCCCCGTTGTACTGCCAGCCTTGGCAATCTAGGTTCTGTGAGTACACAGTTGACCTGACATGAGATGTACAGGGATATATGATGCCTACCATTGAATCCATACAAAAAAGTGCATTTTCGTATGCATGTATGTTGAATCTATTTCGCAAGGTACGAAGCCAACCGTGCTAATCGGAGGAACGTGGGAAGGACAAGAAACGAACCACGAATGTTCACTCTTGAGCCGGTAACGTTTACTGGTGAGCAGGTGAGAGCTCATCAAGCCGAGTCCCTCTCACTCGACAGAGGTGGCATCAACACAAGAAGACACGCAAGAGCTGTGAAGCAGGGAGCGCATTCGCCACTGAACACAAATCATCAGTGCAGCCGCAACGACAGAAACACAGAGAGAGAGAGAGAGTGCAGGTGAGAACCTGTCTCCAGGCTCACACAAGCATTGGCAGCCCGAAGCCAGTGGTGGAAATTCCACATTCCTGCGGCGGCAGGCAAACTTCTCACGATACAACTCACTGTGGACTTCCCACAAAGTGGCACTCAACTTAATCGCCCTCAAGACCAACCAAAGACCATGGGGCTGTCTTGGGGCAAAGCAGAGAAATCAGCTGAGGACCGCCCGGCATGGCGTGGGCTTGTCGCGCGGCCTTGTGGCTCCACAGAGAGCGAAGAGGAGTGAGGCAGTGACCGTCCTGGGGGAATGATGGGCAGAGTCTACCGCTGATCAGAGTTTGAGACTCGTACAGCCGAGCACTGCACCAGAGAGCCACCTGACGGGATACGCAGAAACAATGAAATGCTTGTGCACCGAGACCACAATTACAGCTTAATTATGTTTTAAGACACGTCAATAAACACTGGAACTTTACACAAAGCAACCTGTTAAAATATAATGAGAATGAAGTATTGCATGCAAAGACAAAGCAATATTTATATTTGCTTCAAATAAACAAACATTTGTATACGAAGAGCAGAGGTGGAGCGGGGTTAGTGCACGGCTGCCATCAGTGGCAAGTGAGATCTGAACAGGTCCACGGTATACTTTGATCAACTTTCACCAATCGTCGTGGTGAAGTATGGGCAAGTGCCCCCCACGACCAATGAGGCGTGGGAAGGGCCTTCATGCAGTCGCGGCGACGCACGGAATTCTTGAATTGTCAGCCTCGAAACGATTGGCCATTGATTCAGTGAATGATTCCGTGGAGGGATTTTTCAGATGCCAATAAAACTATCTTCTCGACATTCCTTATTAAATATAGCTTATCCAAAATTACACTATATATCTTAAATCCCATCATCGTGTGTTGTAGCCCTTAACCCCTTTCCCCCGAGGTATTTTTCACTGACGTATTTCTGAAATGATGTACGCACCTGCACCTCGTCGGTTGCTCCGACTCACGTGAGTGCGAGTGTGTGAATGATACACGAGCTATACATCTTGAATTAAAACTTTCCTGCCTGCAGGAATTCATGTTCTTAGTTGTTTTCGGTAAAGTCACGTAGAAAGAAAAATAATAATAAAAAAACACGACGTTTTGATCGCTTGTTGTAGGCAGAGTCAGAGTCAGTGTTGTAGTCAGAGTCACTGTTGTAGTCAGAGTCACTGTTGTAGTCAGTCAGAGTCACTGTTGTAGTCAGAGTCACTGTTGTAGTCAGAGTCACTGTTGTAGTCAGAGTCAGAGTCACTGTTGTAGTCAGAGTCACTGTTGTAGTCAGTCAGAGTCACTGTTGTAGTCAGGCAGAGTCACTGTTGTAGTCAGAGCCACTGTTGTAGTCAGTCACTGTTGTAGTCAGAGTCACTGTTGTAGTCAGAGTCACTGTTGTAGTCAGAGTCAGAGTCACTGTTGTAGTCAGAGTCACTGTTGTAGTCAGAGTCACTGTTGTAGTCAGAGTCACTGTTGTAGTCAGAGTCAGAGTCACTGTTGTAGTCAGTCACTGTTGTAGTCAGAGTCACTGTTGTAGTCAGAGGCAGAGTCACTGTTGCAGTCAGAGTCACTGTTGTAGTCAGAGGCAGAGTCACTGTTGTAGTCAGTCAGAGTCACTGTTGTAGTCAGAGTCACTGTTGTAGTCAGAGTCACTGTTGTAGTCAGAGGCAGAGTCACTGTTGTAGTTAGAGTCACTGTTGTAGTCAGAGTCACTGTTGTAGTCAGTCAGAGTCACTGTTGTAGTCAGAGTCAGAGTCACTGTTGTAGTAAGAGTCACTGTTGTAGTCAGAGTCACTGTTGTAGTCAGTCAGAGTCACTGTTGTAGTCAGAGTCACTGTTGTAGTCAGAGTCAGAGTCACTGTTGTAGTCAGAGTCACTGTTGTAGTCAGCCAGAGTCACTGTTGTAGTCAGAGTCACTGTTGTAGTCAGAGTCACTGTTGTAGTCAGAGTCAGAGTCACTGTTGTAGTCAGAGTCAGAGTCACTGTTGTAGTCAGTCACTGTTGTAGTCAGAGTCAGAGTCACTGTTGTAGTCAGTCACTGTTGTAGTCAGAGTCACTGTTGTAGTCAGAGTCACTGTTGTAGTCAGAGTCAGAGTCACTGTTGTAGTCAGAGTCACTGTTGTAGTCAGTCACTGTTGTAGTCAGGCACTGTTGTAGTCAGAGTCACTGCTGTAGTCAGAGTCACTGTTGTAGTCAGAGTCAGAGTCACTGTTGTAGTCAGAGTCACTGTTGTAGTCAGAGTCACTGTTGTAGTCAGAGTCACTGTTGTAGTCAGAGTCACTGTTGTAGTCAGAGTCACTGTTGTAGTCAGAGTCACTGTTGTAGTCAGAGTCACTGTTGTAGTCAGAGTCACTGTTGTAGTCAGAGTCACTGTTGTAGTCAGAGTCACTGTTGTAGTCAGAGTCACTGTTGTAGTCAGAGTCACTGTTGTAGTCAGCGAGGCGAGGCGGTGAACCACGGTTGCGGGCGTTGTCACCTCGGGGCGACGATGCCTGCTGACCGATGCCTGCGGGCTCTGTCTTGGGGGGGGGTCTCTGCGCGTGTTTGCCAAGGGAAAGCCGCACTGCCAAGATGTCGCAGTACCCAGCCATCTTGCTGCTCTTGCTTCTGCTTTGTAGTCCCAACTGAGGAATCTGCAGGTAATTTTTCAGCGTTGGGATGTTTGGCCAATACCGCTTAAGTTGTTTGGTTTATTTAGCTATTGCTAGGGAACCAGAGAACTCGGAGGAAACACACAGAGAGAGGGGGGCAACATACAAACTACTCAGAGAGGGGGGCAACATACAAACTACACAGAGAGGGGGGCAACATACAAACTACACAGAGAGGGGGGCAACATACAAACTACACAGAGAGGGGGGCAACATACAAACTACAGAGAGAGGGGGGCAACATACAAACTACACAGAGAGGGGGGCAACATACAAACTACTCAGAGAGGGGGGCAACATATAAACTACACAGAGAGGGGGGCAACATACAAACTACTCAGAGAGGGGGGCAACATACAAACTACTCAGAGAGGGGGGCAACATACAAACTACACAGAGAGGGGGGCAACATACAAACTACACAGAGAGGGGGGCAACATACAAACTACACAGAGAGGGGGGCACCATACAAACTACTCAGAGAGGGGGGCAACATACAAACTACACAGAGAGGGGGGGCAACATACAAACTACTCAGAGAGGGGGGCAACATACAAACTACACAGAGAGGGGGGCAACATACAAACTACTCAGAGAGGGGGGCAACATACAAACTACACAGAGAGGGGGGCAACATACAAACTACTCAGAGAGGGGGGCAACATACAAACTACTCAGAGAGGGGGGCAACATACAAACTACTCAGAGAGGGGGGCAACACACAAACTACTCAGAGAGGGGGGCAACATACAAACTACTCAGAGAGGGGGGCAACATACAAACGACACAGAGAGGGGGGCAACATACAGACTACACAGAGAGGGGGGCAACATACAAACTACACAGAGAGGGGGGCAACATACAAACTACTCAGAGAGGGGGCGGCAACATACAAACTACACAGAGAGGGGGGCAACATACAAACTACTCAGAGAGGGGGGGCAACATACAAACTACACAGAGAGGGGGGCAACATACAAACTGTACACAGAGAGACAGCCCCGGGTCTGGAAGCGAACCCAGGCCCCCCGTGCTGCCTTGCAGCACGGGGGGCACCCCCAGCGCCACGTGGGGGGCACCCCCAGCGCCACGTGGGGGGCACCCCCAGCGCCACGTGGGGGGCACCCCCAGCGCCACGTGGGCGCCTCTCGCGCGGCCCTTTCCGCTAGCCCGTCAGGCGTGGGGGGGAGGGGGCCGGAGGGGGGGCACCTGGGGGGGGCACCTGGGGGAGGGCACCTGGGGGGGCACCTGGGGGGGGCACCTGGGGGACGAGGCACCTGGAGCAGGGCACCTGGGGGGTGTTTCGGTCACTTTGGCATTAAGCCCACATTCGATTTATTTTGTTTAGTGACCGAGGGAGGAAACGTGAGTATGGGAAGTGATTATTATGTAATGTTTGTTTTGGTCTGTCCAGCTTGTTCTCCGCGAAGCGCAGGATCGATCGCCCACAGGAAAGCCGCTTCGGGCACTCACGGCCCAGGTGCAGGAGGAGCCTGAAGGGGAAACTCCGCGCCTCCTGCTGAGCTGCTGTGACGTGCACTAAATCGCTCCACTGCTGGATGAGCACCTACCCCATGCTATGTGAGCCACTGTGCCAATATAAGGCCGCACGCATTCCACACAAAGTGCTTGCCACAAATGAACCACAATACCTTGCTGATCTGGTCAAGGAGCATGCACCACCATCACCCTAACTCCGGTCATTCTTGCAGCAGCAGCAGCAGCAGCGACTTCTGGCTGCCATCGCGTGGTGCTTTCAGATGCGCTTCTGCGGCCGTCTGGAACGCTCTTCCTTCGATATTAGGAAACCACTGGAGCTATGCACTTTTACGTCTAGATTGAAAACTCATTTCTTTAGACCTGCTTTTTGTGCTTCGTTTGTTGTCTTTCCCCCGCAACTCCGATTGGCACGGTTGGCTACCTACAGTGCGAAAGAAGTTCAACATACGCGCGTACATCGTGGTGACTGAACCATACTACACCTCGCTGGTCAGTGCGGGTTCGTCAAGGACGGGAGCATAGACATGGGAGCATCGTATTATACAACAATGGATGTCTCTGTACGTATGTTTGCTGGGTGGCACTGTGCCCAGGTGCGTGGCTCACAGGGGGTCATAAGTTCCCATCTTTGATGAGGGTCAACTGAGCCCATCGTCCCCACAGGGTCGATAAAGCAGGCGCCACGTTCTAGGAAGTCATCGGTGACTGCGTTGTGGGCTCCTGCCAAAGGAGAGTGCCACAGGCACCAGTAACATGCACCAGTGGCTCAGCGCTCCAAATGAAGATGACAGTGGCCAATACTCACGTGATCACGGGAACACTAAGTGTGTATATGTTGTGTTATATAACCAAACGAATTAGTGAATGATTGCGAACAGCGGGTTTTATTTTGGTTTTTAATTTTTTTCTTCAATTTGGCAGTAGGCAACCAATGCTCGTTATTCATCCAGGAAAACATCACTGAGTTTCAGGACTCTTTAGTCAAACATTGCCCTGCGCTGCATTGTTTGGCCAATTCCATTAACGAGCGTTTGGCAAATGGTATGAAATTGGAGTACCTGGAGAAATCTAGCGCAAACAAGAGGGCGACGCTCAAATATCCGCATGGCTTCAAGGGACCATTCCTGACGAGGCCGGGTGGCTCATGGGTCAGAAGGCTGAGTCAACACCGCTGAGGTCCTGGGTTTGAATCCACGCAGTCACCCATGATTAAACTAAGTTACCACGTGTAGCGAGTTGATGTTCTCAGCCTGGGCACCTTATACTGCACACAAAACAAAGACAAAGATCCCCCGTGGAGCCTTAACAGACTGTTGGGGCAAGTGCTGTTAGCGAGCACCTATGAAGATCGGCAAACGAGGGGGTCGGTGGCCAACACCACGCCCGGCCGCCTTTGTCTCCCCAGTGACGATGTTTACACCAAGCACCAGGTACTCATTTGAGGCTGAGTCGACCAAGGGGAGGCCCAGGACCGGTTCAGATAATCGTCACTGGTGTTGGCCGTGAACGGGAATCGAACTCGGAGTGGTCGGGTTCTGTAGCGCAGCGTAGCGCTAACCGCTACACCACCGCTCCCGACAATGATTAAACGAAGTTCACACGTGTAGCGAGTGAATGTTTTCAGCCCGGGCATTATAAGACTAAACATACACACACAGACACAAAACCTCTTCATAATAAATGTTGGTGTTTCACTCAACTTTGTCAAAATTACAGCTCTAAAATCTAAATATTGATTCGAGTGTCATGCGGCAAACATCAAAATCACAGCGCCGCGTGCAAGGAAAGTGCCACCGCGATCGCGTAAACAAACAACAACCACTTGAAGGGTTTGTTCATGAGTCCCGTGAAAATCCTTTGTGCTGCCAATCTCAAACATGGCATCTCGTGCGGTCATCTGTCCGGTGTGGAATGATGAGCTTTACTTCCTGCAAGACGCGTGTTTTTTTATTTGGATGGATATTGTGCAGAGCCCTATTCTTCTTTTACCTTGACAAAAAGGTCACGTTTAAAGCTCTAAATTTACCCACAATTGTTATCCCGTCTAAATAGTTTATTCACTGTTGGGCACATTCCACGGAATCGATTAGAGTTCTAATTTCGGTAACAAAAGCTGCAGAGCGTTAATAATTCAGCCCCAATCACAAGCCTCGACGCGGAGTACATGGCCATCTTCACGGCTGCTCGAGAGAGGAGTCTCCATTCCTCACGCGAGGCCGTCATTGTCACCACAGGGGCATCACCACGCTCCTTCCGGAAATGCCACCGCATTTGAATTGTGTTTAACTGAAATCAACGCGCTGCAAACAAAACTAAAAGCACGTCTATTTTGACAGTTTAGGTGTAAAAGTGACCTTTGCGTTGAAAGTAAAAACATTTTTTGGAGAATTTCCTGTTTTGGGAAAGCGCAGCCACTGGGTGTTTAGAGCCCCGTGGGCGATGTGGCGGGGGGAGATTTATTCCGTGCTCTCCACCACCACCACCACAGAGTCCCAGATCCCCCCATAGTCGCACAGACCCTTGGGGCCACTGCTGTTGGCGAGCAGCACACCCTTGAAGGCCGCCAGCAATGGGGTGGTGGGCCAGGAACCACGCGCGGCGGCCTTTGTCTCCCCGTAGCCGATGTTTGTGGGGGTTTTTTAAACCCCACAGCAGGTGCTCATTTGTGGCTGAGTCAATCTAAAGGAAACCCAAGACCGGTTCAAATAGTTGTCACTAATGTTGGGCGTGAGCAGGAATCCAACTCGGAACGCCGGGCTCGTAGCACAGCCACTGGTTATCACTGCAGCAGGCACACTCCACATGCACGTACGCGCATGCGTCAGTTGTACGCGTGGACACGCGGATCTCACCTCCCTCTGCCTTGTGACCGATTGCCGTGTATGATAGACACGCTGCTGATGATGGTAATCCTGATGGTAATCATCAGCAGCATGCTGCTGCTCCTGCTGCTGCCGGGGATGCTGCATGGCTGTTGCGGGACGAGGGAGTAGGAAGAAGGGCAAGGGGTGAAAGCAGAGAGAGAGTGATCTCCTTTGGAGCCCCGCGTATTTCCTTGATGGTCTTGATCGATAAGATGCGTGGCTCTTTTACGAACTCATTATCCCGGTAGCACCCCCCTCTCTCCAGCTCAATGTCCCCCACGACCCGGCTTGTGTGTGCCTAGTCGAAGGTTGCCCTCGCTAATCCCACGCCACTGACAGGGCAAACCATCTGCCCTCATTGGCTTAACCCTTTTTATCTCTACATCGTGCCTATTGTCAGGTGCCGTGTTCCCCTTTGTTGTTTAGTTTCTGCCTCTGCTTAGTAAACAGAGAGCCCATAACCTCAAACTTGTTGCCCGAATGCTCTACTGACACGAGACTTATGTGACTAATGATAATGAATAACGTTTAGATTATACTGTTTGGAGGCAAACGCAGTCAGTCCCACTGATCCTGCTTTTCCAGTTCTTCATTTCCGAATCAACCTATAGCAAAATGTTAGCTCTCTTTGTTAAAGCTCATCTGGCGCTTAGTGATTCAGCTTTCTCACAATGTATAGGCGCAATCGCTGTCGGTGGTTGTGCTGAATAGCTCTCTGGTGTGGGGTTGTTCCTCGGGTGTCCGTCCGTTGTGATGCCCGACCTTTATCATAGCAGCGATGTACTGACATTTTCCTTCGTCCAAGTTGGCACACACAACGCTGCAAAGCCATCGATGCACACTCAGCTACCGCAATGGCATCTCGGAAGGTTGTGTTTGTAATTTATTTAAAATTTGTTGCCACTACATCATTGTCCTTCATATCACAACTCTACATCGCCGTTAGCCACGATCAATCCACTGCTGGATGAAGGCCTCCCCAAGCCATTGCCGTCTCTCTCGCTCTCGCAATTCAACAATCCATTGAGCTCCTGCACATGAACTGATCTCATTGCTCTATCTCTGCTGTGGTGTGTTCCGGAAGTGCCCTGCCACTCCCTCTTTAGTCTTGACACCGCCATCAGCCCTTCTGGAGACGTGGCAGCCTTAAGCCCACTTACTTTTATGAATAGTCAATATTGACTTTAATTTGTGGCTATCCTCTGATGCACGTGTTCCTCGTTTACTCTTTAATCGTGACTGGGTAATTTGCGTGTTCTTATGAAATATTGGAGATGAGCAAACATATAATCAGTGGTCACAGTGGAACCGTGTTGATGCGTGGCAGAGTGCAGGGCGCCCGTCCTGGATAAGTACATTTGGAGATAATGGGAGTAAAAAAACACACACACACATGATGCACTCCCTTTTTCCATAAAATTTGACTCGTGATAATTACAGATTATTGGATGGACTTGCAGCAGGGCTTGTGCGAGGAGGGTGCTGGCGTTGGCCCTGCACCACCAAATGTCCCTTCGACACCACCCAAGTTCTCTCTGAGTAGCGGTGAATCACTGAATCGTGCCTGTGAGTGCGATTAAAGTTGGGTGCTCCCAATTGCCAGCTCTGAATGTCCACACGAGGTCTCGTCAGGCATGCGCCTTATCCGTGGGGCTGTCCACAGCACTGTCTCATCCGTGGACACTGCACATCGTAGGAATGTCTGGAACCCATCTGTGGCTCCGTCCACACTTTTCCGATTGTCTGGAATATACTGGAAGTGAAAAATAACTGATCTGTGGATAAGGAAAAAAAATACACAGAGCAGCCAGACTTCTAGGATAAAATGAATCGTGGATAAGAGGATTGGAAAATAGACGTTATTTTATTTACTACTCAGTTGGAATTACGCACGGCAACTATCGCCGATTAGTTTCCGGTTGCAGGCCAGGTGCTGAGTCACCTTGTTTCCACAGGGTCAGCTGCCACTGGGGGTGCCCTTTCCATTGTTTGAGATAAGTTGCGATGTAAGTTGCTTATCGCGTGCAAAATTGATCTGAGATGCATCGGTGTAAAAGGATGCTATATCAACAACAAATTACTATTTCTATTATTACCAAGTATGGCATGCAACCATAAGGGCATACAAATAAAGTCACGTGCAAGCCTACACATGAGCGCTGTTTACGCGTACACACAACCTCCCAAGGGTGTCACGCAGCTGCACTCTGATGTACGATGCATTGGGGCAATGTGCGAGCCAACTCCAGCCACGCGGAACCTTGTAACTTTTACGCGTTCCAGGTCAATTTCTGGAAACAGTTTACGTGTACATGAATTCGTCAACAAATCCACAGAGGTTATTTGGAGATATGACAGGGGCATAGTTTTTGTATACTCGATTACAATCTGCAGTCCCTTGATTTTAGTGTCACTTTCACCGCCCTTGATTAATGTATTCACGTCTGTTGACGGCTACATGCAGTAAAGTTTTTACAAGTTTTACACGTTTTGTCGCTGCCGTATCTATTAACTGCGGGGAACCTCGTGCTTTCACAGCTGCAGTCACACGCCTTCAGCGCGGTCTAAATTTAGTGAATTGTGGAGCAAAACGCAAACTGCAGGATCCCCAAGGACAAAATGGTGCCTGCGATTTATATGGGCCGATAGGGCATAATTACGGGCTATTCTCAATCAGAATGGGCACAGTTCCTCGCTGCTGGAACCTCTCCATTTCGGCTTTAATATGCTGTAATGAGTCGTAATAAGAGCCGTGCCACTGCCCTGGGCTCACTGGATTGTGGGTTTGGCTCGCAGAACCGGTACTTACTGGGGTGGGGGGATGGGGCATGAGACAGCAGTCGGGTTAGGAGATGGCCCCACGCTGGGCGCTGCTGCTGCTGCTGGGCGCTGCTGCTGCTGGGGGCGGGGATGGCGTTTACCGGGCGAAGCGGCCCCTGATTGCTGCTGATTTGCGCCGCTCTCGCAATCACTCTCGGAGCTCGTAGCCTCTGGCGCTCCAGCCGCCCCTATCTACACGTGCTGCTGCTGCCGCTGCGTGTAAACAAGGCTAATGTGTGCTAATGCACTCAGGGGGTGGGGTGGTTGGGGAACGGAGGGAGGGGCGTGGGCGTTCAGCCCTTGCTCCTGCTGCTGCAGGTTGTGACACCACGGCAAATATGTATCGAGGCTAATGTGACGCTACATCCAGCGAGGGGTGTTGTCGTCTGTGCGCTTGTGAGTTATGGGCTGGTCTCGTCGGCCTTTGCTCGCGCGAGTGAAGGGGGATGTTTGCAAGGGCGGTGTCGACATTCGCCCAAGACCTCGGCGCAAGGGAAGGCAGTCCCCCCCCCACCCCGCTCTGGGGGAGCCCGAGAGTGATGCACAGGGCCCACGTTGACCAAAGTGGCAGTTGTTTTGCCAATTTGTTAGCTTGCATTGCTTTACTGAAACGGCGGCGGATTGGCGTATGCCTCGTCACATCTGGGACCCGGACCCCAAAACGAACCCTTCGGACGGCGCCTCCTTTCATTTTGCGTAAAACAAACACAAAAACACATTTGGGCCAAAATAAATTGAATGGAAATTTTCAGTTATGATAAACACACGACTGCTAATTGAAATCCAAACATATTGTGAACGGTTATAAATGAGGTGCTTAAACAATGTCGGATGGAATGTGAAGGGGGTGATGGCATTGGCAGCTTCTCTAACCACAGAGAATTAACATTTGTGACATTGCGCGCGGAGTCCTTGTTTTTGCAACATTAGCGATGCTGGCGTGCTGATGGGTGATGGAAGCCACCCCCCTCTGTCCACTGCTGTGGCTTGGCCGTGCGCATTGCTCGCAGTCACTTCGCCCGCGCGACGATGCCTTTTTCCTGGGTCGCCATGAACAAAAAAAACATCGCTCTCGCATGACGGTTAAAGCAGGTGCATTCATAATGACTCCACGATTATATTTCTTGATTGAACACACGGTACTAATTCAAGGCACGTGGAAATAACTGTACCGTAATAAGTAAAATAAAATACCTGCGTGCGTACCGAGATGCAGCCAGACCCAGCGTGGAAGAATCCCACGCGACGTACTATGAATAGTGAACTTCTTTCGCACCGTACGTAGCCAACCGTGCTAATGAGCGGTGCGGGTGAAGGACAACAAACTAAACACCATACGCAGTTTTAAATAAATGAGTTTTCAATCTAGATTTAAAAGTGTATATCTCAAGTGCCGGAAAGAAAGAGCGTTCCAGATGGCCGCAAAAAATGCATCTGAAAGCGCTCGATGCCAGCCAAAGGATGGTCTCGGAAGCACGGCTGTGCCTTGTATCGCCCACTGGCAGGCGTGGGACATCACCCAGAGGAGTCTCCGGTAGTGTAGGCCAGCGTGTGTCACGGCATGCACAGTTGCCCGCCAACATACAGTGACGTAACAATTCACGGCGCTTTGTTAATACGCTGCTGGATGACGGTCAGGGAGCTGCTGACCATACTTCACCATCTTGTGCAGTGGGGGGTGGGGAAGGGGGAAGGAGCCCTTAGCCTGTTCAGATATCACTCTCCGCTGATGATAGCCGTGGCTGGGAATTACACTCAGGATTCAGGGTTTGCAGTGCAATGTGCTAAGAAATGCAAGTGCGGTGCGCATTTTGCATAATATCTAATATAATATACCATGAGTGGTTATACTATGAACAGAAATGTCGAAAAAAATCCCTGTATCCTGACATCATCCATAACGTACGTAAAATACTCAGGGAGTTAAGTTGATGTTCAGAGCCAAGTTCAGCTCAAGTTGGCGTCCCTTCGTCTCCATGCTGATGCATGAACGTGCAAGCCCCAATCCAGGGCCATTTGACCAGAACAGCATTGCACTCTCGTGTTCTCCTTCATTCCAGACCCATGTGGTGCATCTGAGACCTATTACATAGAGGCGTTTTGCGGTGTAGCATAATATTTACGTAGATAGCACGACATACCAGTGCTTGCTTGCTGCAAAAGCATAATCATAACACGAGCGGTTTAATCGTTCGTGATGGCTTTGTCATTTTCACGTCATGTATTTGTGGATGTTTAATGTTGTTCTTACAGTAAGCTCCTGGAACGTTATACAGATAGCAGAAGAGCATTGTGACGCTTTGAAATGGATTGATTTTGCATCTGCCTGTTCAGCAACATTGATACAAGCAAACCTGACTCTGCTGATGAAATACTCGAACCCGGTCCAGAGTTTGCTCGTATTGAACCAATGCTGCTGAAATTGTGCACTCCCAAAAAGCATTGTGGAAGGCCTTGTAGAAGATATATACAGGAGATGTATGTATGTTGAACTTCTTTCGCACCGTACGTAGCCAATAGTCTGCTTGTTTATTCTTGTTACTCTATGCGTCTCCACAACACGCGCTTCACAATTATTTTTTCGTTACGACCTTTGCAGGATCATGGAAGCGAAAGTCTTCCACCTGGATTCGTCACCGAGCATGCCACACGCATCCAGTGTCCGCATCTGCGCGGGCCAAGGTGTTAAGATCTGCTTTTTTTCGCAATTCCGGCGTAGAGAGTTTTACAGGGCCAAAGCACGTGGTGATAAGTACCCTGGTGTTTGGCAATGCAAAGGTGGTGACCTTAATTTCATGGCTGCTACAAATTGTTACACACAGCTACAGGAATCCGCCACAGGTCAAGCTTCGTCGGTTCAGCCGAGGTGTCTGGTGGCAAGTTTGCGCGGACCACAGAGCGTCTGATGGCCTCGGTTAACGACGACCTCAAGTCGTAAATTTCACGGAGCCCAGCTGATGACGTCCCTCGATACTCGAAGTCACGTGCCCTGGCATGTTCCGTCTGCATCGCACTGACATTTCACAAAGACAACGACGCATTCGTGCAGTGCACACAGTTGTACATATATCGCCCCTGTAGGGTTTGATTTTTTTTTTACCGGATTGTAACGCAGATGAACCAGGTTGGACGCGTGCTGTATTATTTTCTTTCGTTCATCACATCGCGAATGGATCTTGCAGCAAGAAAAGAGAACGCTGATGCATCCTTTGTGATGTTATTTTGGTCATAGATGGCCATAGCCACGAGTGACTAGTTGCTTCCAATTAGTAGCTGCTTACAAAACTGCAACGCATGGTGCGAAATGTCCATTTTGAAGTGAAAATTAGAATTTTAACAAAAAACTTGTTCTCAAGTTGCTGGTTACGGTGTATCGCTTACATTGCATAGCTTTACATCACGTTTGAAAACAAGCTAATGTGCACTCTTTAAGTTTTATGCAAGAATCAGTTTTATTTTCATAGTATGTGATAGGTTATTTCTTACGTATATTTTGTTTCTACTGAGGTAGAAATTTGCATTTTTATTTCAATATTAGCGATTGCGTCTGTGTAGTGTGGCTGGTGGCCGATTATGACCAACACCGGAACGCCTCGAAACCTAGAGTGAGGATCAAGTAAAACTGCTTCGTTATTTTTGTAAATGTTAATACTTGACACTTTTGTTTGTTCCGTTGTAAATTGAAGCACCACTACAGAGGACACATATTTGTACATTAGCCATCGTCGGAATGTTTGCACAGTCTATATAATTAACCCGGCTCCCCGCATGAGCCCCGCATCCCGTTTGCCTGCGATAAACACGCAGCGTTTAGCTGTGCAATTAAACAACCATTCTGCCACTCACACTCTGCTTCATTAGCTCCGCGAACTCAAGGAATGTTTCTTAAAGAAGAGGCTACAGAAATGATTAACAGTTCAACTCTACCAGAGCTTATTATTATAATTAGGTTGGCCGTAGCAAAAGAAAAAAAAGCATTAACCTGCTTCAAAAGAAGGGCACGACTCGAAGGCTTACGGACACTTTACGGATGCCGGCCAGGTTGTCACAGTGAGCTGCGCTTTGTAGTTAAACCTTGGAGATCAACGGGAGGGCATTAATCCATTGTAGTCGTTGCCCATGCGTTAAGACCCAGGGGTGGCTCGTGAATGTTGCGCCGCGAGCTTGAGATGTTGGAAGTGACAGGCGAACAACGCTGCGAAGGGGCCCTCTCTGGGTCAGGGCCAGCGGACGACAACCAAATTGCAAGTGACAACTGCGTCGCTCCAGCGCTCTGGCGACAAACACTTTTCTTAGACCCCCCCTCTCCTGTCCACGGGTTAATAAGTGGCTGCTATCGTCTGGCGGCCACGAGGAAAATTCCTCAAATACCTCGGGCAGCGCCGTTCGAGCTCAATTCAAAGGCTCCCGTGGTCGCCTCGTCCGTTGAGCGAGCGCGAGGCGGCCGGGCGAGGTGAACCCTCCTCGTGTGTGAGAAAGCGGGCCAGGAGGAGGAGGAGGGTGAGGGTTTGTGTACTCAGCGCTGTTTGCTCGGTGTAATTGCAAGGCACGCGGAGGGGGGAGGTTGGCTCCATCTGGGCCGCGTGTGCGAGTCCCCGCCGTCTCGCCAGACCCAGAGCTGTGGCTTTCGGGGTTAGGCGAGGGTTAGGGGACAGACCGTAATGGATTACGAGTGGGCTCAACGTGTAATATCCTCGTCCATTAGACGGAGTTTGTGGCCCAGCCGAGCTGATGCTGACGTTGGGAGCGCACGGCTTGCCTGCCATCTACCTGCTGGCATCGGGGGTTGCCCCATTTGCCCATTGTAGTCAATCGGCCAGAAAACCCGGGCGTGACCCCACCACCACCACCCACTCACAAATTCTGAGCCGCAACACAATAACCACCTTGTCTCATCTTCAGAAATGGCTAAAGAGTTGCTGCTTAAACGCTCTCCTTTAAAGCCCCTTCTTGCCTTGGGGCTGTTGTCACAGCTGGAGCAAGGCTTGCCTTCTCATGGGCACGCGTTAATCGCAGCGACCGTCCCGCGGGATGGCTCTCTCCTCTGTTTAGACAGAAAAACGAGGAGGATGGGGAAATGTGCGGTGTGTACTTAATTAATGTGGCATCAGAACCAGAGAGAGAAAAAAACCCCAGGGGTTAAATGTTCAAGTAAAGCTACAGAGCCAGTTAGACCCATTAAGGTACGTTTTTAAATTGTCATCATTTAAAAAATATATATTCGTAGATTGTTCATGTGTAAACGCACGGTGGGTTAGCACACTGGGGCTATGAACCCGCCAAGCGGTGTTTGTTTAATTCCTGGCCAACATCAGTGGCGAGTGAGATGTGATCCGGTGCTGCCCGCCCTCCACCTTTCGCCAACTCGCACTGACCAGCTTGGTGAAGTATGGCTGAGCAACGCTCGCGACAGTCACGGCATGGGGAGACTCCCACACAGCAGTGGATAAAGGACTATCAGTGATAAAGAATGAAAACACCACACATAAAGCTCTATGCGAATATAAGGAGCAACTGCTGTATCTATAAATGCCATCAATTAACAATGACATCTGCTTTGTACTTTGATTCAATATACAGTACAACCCAATTGCATTCATGCTTTATATTATATATTACTTAAAAACTGATATTTAAGTATATAATACTGTGTGTGTATATAGCGTATACATACTCATATTGTTTTATTCATGCATTGGTTTGTGTGCTTGTGTGCGGGCGCAGCGTGCAGAAGTTCGAATCCAACTCCAGGTCCAAATCCAACCCCAGGTTCGAATCCAACTCCAGGTCCAAATCCAACCCCAGGTTCGAATCCAACTCCAGGTCCAAATCCAACCCCAGGTTCGAATCCAACTCCAGTTTAGAATCCAACCCCAGGTTCAAATCCAACTCCAGGTTTAAATCCAACCCCAGGTTCGAATCCGACCCCAGTTCAAAGTCCAACCCCAGGCACTGCTAATGTACATGGGCTAATTGTCATTTCGCAATGCGTGCTGTGGAATGATCGGCTGTTAGAACCTGTCCCGAGTCTGCGTGTACTGTGCTGTGCTGCGTCAGTGCTGCTGGGGTTATGCATTCCCAGCAGCGCATTGTGTTAATGCCCTGTGTAAGAAATACTCTGATATGTTTTATATATATGAGTATACACATTGTTATATTTATATGTGGAGAGATGGATACACGAAGGAGATGTGTGTTATGCTTATCTATTCTGTTATTTATATTCTCCACAATGACGCGAATTATTTCATGACATTTTCACTAAATAAAGGG